TACATATGTGTTGTTATTTATGTTTTGATTCACACATTACATATTCCATGTTGAATAATAGGTCCGATTTGATCACTAATTAAAGTTTTTGTCGTTGTTGATAAACCACTTTACGCAGGTCACAATTTAGCATGCTCCAATACATCATTCTCAAGTTGATACTGTGTTGCGTTTATTCCTCTAACGTACAGGGTGTCCGAAGAGTCTGTAACCGTAGGTATGTTTGATTGTTATGAATTTCGCGTAAAGCTACACGAGGACTATCTACGCTAGCCGTCCCTAATTTAGCAGCGAAAGACTAGAAGGAAGGCAGCTAGTCATCACCACTCACCGCCAACTCTTGGACTATTCTTTCACCAACGAAGAGTGGGATTCACTGTCACATTATAACGCCCCTACGGCTGAAAGTTCAAGAATGTTTGGTGGGACGAGATTTCGAACCCGCGGCCTGCAGATTGCGCTCTAACCACCTGGCCAAGGAACCATAGGTTTGTTTGTAACTTATTTTCAGCGACGTGGTTGAATATTGCGCTGCCAAAGGATGAGAAGGTCGAGTTAAACCTGTTGTGTTGCAGAGAAACTTAGTCCCAGCGGAAGGTTACTACCGAATTTAATGTAATTCATTTTCTGTACAAAGAGAAGATCAGGGATACCGAACATATGAAACAATGAATTTGCGACGAATGTCGGATTATTGACACGAATATACTTTGGAGTGTTGAAACAGAATGGAAATACCGTATCCAAACTTGTTTCGAATTACAAAGACAGCAGGTTTGTTTGTTTGTAATTAAGCACAAAGCTACAACAATGGGCTATCTGTGCTCTGCTTACCACGGGTATCGAAACCCGATTTCTAACGTTGTAAGTCCACAGAAAGACAGCACGTGGAACACATTCTGTAAAATTCGTTGAAGACTTTTTGGACACCCTGTATATAAGTTGTAGTTTATGCCTCTTTTTCTTACCTTGAATACCATTCTGTCTCTCGAACTCTTCGGCTCTTATCGAATGTTGGCCTTTCTAGTTTTAATAAGCTAATTATCTTAAATACTATGCACATAGTTGTTTTTATATATATTTATTTAATCTATCATTTTTCTGAAATTAAAGTGAGAGATATCCCGACACTATATTTATAACAATATTTATTGCGGTTTTTACTGGGATAATGAAAAATACATAATACACAATGTTTCACCGACATGATCAGGTATTAGTTTATCATTCAATGCTCACTATTTTAGCAAATCTCACGTTTTAAATGTTTCATATATTCGTGCGTGTGCACGTACGCACACAAATGATCATTAAAATTATAGGTCACTTCGAAAAAAAAAAATATATCCTGAAACAATTGAATAATACGAGGGTTTCATGTAATAAATTCTTACTTTTGGGGCAAAGCCTATGGTTGATTACACAGGTCTGCGATGGTTTTATTGTCTTGATATTTTTACATGTTCTAATGTACTTCCTGTACGCTAAATTTGAAAATGATATCCATTTTTCTCCATCACGTACAGAATTTTTCACAAAACGTCATGACGCAATACATAAAAGGATGACCACAACACGTAGTTTTTATACTAAAGACGTAGACTTCCAAAAAAAATTCCGGATGAATATTCGTTTAACATCAATGTTCTTCCCTTTTCTTCAGTTTGTTTGTATTTTTTGTTAACAAACATAATAATAAAAATTGTTCATTGTGGTAAACGAAATAATAATTTGATATAAATAAGTTTTTTTTTCTTCTTCCCAATTTGTAAAAAAAATCCTTACGCGATAGAAAAAAAAATTTTTTTGAAATCTGCGTAGCTGAATTATGGGAAATCCGTTATTAAAACCAAAACAACTTTTATGGAGTTTAAATTCGCAGACCTGTGTTATTAACAGCAACTTTAGCACAGGGTTTTGGTATTTGAGAATAAACCATTAAGAGTGAGAGACTATTTATAGACTAATATTAATAACGAGTTTCTAAATGTATCTCTAGAAGTAGAACCAGTTCAAATAGTGGCATTTTTGTTCGATTTAATTGTCATCTTTCTGTCTTTTTTTATTGGGAGAATTTTCATTCGGGGATAATTCTGTGTGACCCATTTATATATTCAATATCCATTTTTATACAGTATCATTTTAAGCATTAACATTATAAGATCTGAAACTTATTTAATGAGTAATGAGGTATTAATCTACGAAACTAGAGCTTTGTTAACCATCAAATTACCAATTTGAATATATTTTTTATATCATTTGCTTCTGGTAGAGTTCAAATATTGTACCTGTAAGTGTTACTTCAGTTAGGGTAAAGATTTTATGAATCTAAAAAAACAAATCTGAGTGAATTCATTGGATGGGATTCATTGTAAGAACTTTAAATTTATTTTTTGTGTTACTCATACGTTAATTGGAACCTTAACCAAGAAAGCCATGGACTCGCTAGCAGTTTGATGCATCATTAATATTATTTTTGTTGAGTCAATAGGGCCAATTCTAGGGCTCAAATTATGGAATATTAATCCACGTGAAACATTTATGCACTTTCATATCTTATTAGTCTGTATGTATTAACAAGTGTAAGAACTTACACAATTACCTCAGTTAGAAAATCATGACCACCGTCTAATCAACGTATCATCAAACGCATGTGGATAACTTTTTCTTTGTGTAAACCACTTATTAAAAATCTGTCAAGGATAACTAGTAAAAAGTTTCAGATATTATACTTCATATGCACAGAGGTTTGGAAGCCTTGATGTTGGAAATGACTGAGAAACGTGTCTTCTACATGCCTGAATTAGAAGTAATGGTAAATTAAGCTACCTAATAAACTAAAACTTTTACGAAGTCTCCCCCAAATCCTTACTTAAACCTACTCAAACTCTAAAAACTGCAAAGATACATAGCATATCGTTCTTAACTCTATTATTAGGTGATATTTTATAACACAGGCTTAACAACGTCCATTGCTTTAATATATATATTTACCTAACAAAAACATTCACTTTAAAATTAGTGTGTTAAAGATCTTGAATCAATAGCTATGGCACTGATAAAAACCATAACTGTAAATCTGATTAAAATGAGTAGTTATTAATGTAACTTAAATGAGTAAAACACTGAAAAACATACTCATGACATTAGCATTTCCACTATAATGCTCAAAGTTACTAGAAAAAGAGAATAGGTTTTAAAATCACCTATTCTTTTTTTAGCTCCGCTACCACACACTTAGAAGCATCAAATCATTAAATTAAAAACTAGAGAGGTAATTGACTGACTACAAAACTTTACTGATATATAATATAAAATCTAAGCAATAATTAACAATGCTGAAATTAAAAGTAAAGCAAATGATAATTATTGGAAAAAAACACTAAAATTTTTTAATTTCTAGAGGTTTGGCCATAAGAAGTTGAAAGACAGCAAACAGTGACGATGTAATCCTTCACTTTCACAATCATACAGTTTTATACACCCAATTTCTAGCATTTTAAGTAAAATCCACAAAGTTTGTGAAATTTATGAATTATTCTAAGTGAGTGAAATGGGACTTTTATATACAAGTATTTTTCATGATTTTCAATTGTACATACTCCTTGTTAAACCTGCAAATGGTAGCACTGCACACATTTGCAATTGCAGAACCTATATCAAAACATGTATCAATAATGTCTAAGATATTAACGACAATCAATGATGTTCTGATGATGTATAATTTTTTTGTGTAATTGAAACCTTTTCTATAAAATTAACAGATCAGATGGAAAAATAAACATGATATTGTTTAAACTTATAAAAAATTCATTTCTATTTGACAGATTTGAAATTTTATAGAACAAATATTTCTCTAAAAACCAAAAGAATAATTTTTACACTAAGTTCAAGTAATCTTTGTGAACTGAACCAAAGTTACAAATAAGGGAAGTAATCCATATATGATATTACAACTTGAAAAATTCAAGTTATTTGGCCTCATTTTCAAAACATAAATAATAATAACAATAGATATTGTGAAATTTTGGGTTAAATACTAAAATAACATAAACTTGCTTTGTGTCTTTACTATAATGGAAAGGGAATAAAAAGAGTAATGTCAATTTAAGCAAAGTTTTTCAATCTCTTTAAACACTTTTACATTTCGAAACTTTCAACAGCTTTTCTACTGTGTAATAGTTACATTCAATCAGAGATACATTTTAGTAACTAGCCGATCACAGTGTTTAATATTAAAAGATCCAATGTACACTGACAAGAACTTACATTTACGATAAACATTAGTACTTATAACTCATAACTAATCTAAGTTGAACAAATCTGTAAATATGTAATCTCCACAGGTGTTAGAAAACCTGTCAAATTTGGTGTATCACACACTCGATGAAAATATTACTTTGTAAGTTTATTGATGGACTGACATGACAAGTAGGAAAGTCAAATTCAAAATGTATAGAGAAGTGGGATTATTAAAATATTTTCAATAATCTTCTCCCACTTCTCTATATATTTCTATTATCCTACTTGTCATGTCAGCCCAGCAACAAATTTATAAAATAACATTTCATTAAGTATGTGAAGCACCAAATTTGAAAGGTTTTCTAACACATGTATAGATTACATATTTACAGATTTGTTTAACTTGGATTGGTTATGGCTTGAGCTGTATCAGAACAGATCTTTTCAGTGATCCCTCATGAACTTAAGTTTTGAGTTTTAACATTATTTATTATAATAAATGTTTTCATTCAAATATTTCTGCTGAAAATTGCAAACCATTTGCAAAAAGAAACTTTGTTATCTATTGCCACAGGAACATGCCCCTTTTAGAGTTTAGTGCTGCCACATTTGCAGTACTGTACACATATCTGGAATCTCTACCAAGTATTAAGTTCCATTGTAATCCTTTAATTAAAGTGAGAGAAATGTAGTATTAATCTACAGAAATAATATCTGCATATTGAGTTCTCAAGGGTATTTATAACAATAAAATAAAATAAAAGAGAAAAAAAGAATATTTTACTCAAAAGATTTGTCCTCTGATGATACTTATATTACCTAATGAAACACTGTCAATTATGAATTTCATTTTTCAAGAACAAAATGTTAGTGCCATAGTGAAATTAAACTAATGAGTTTCTGGTGGAAAAACACGTAAATACAAGTTGTAATTTGTTTACTGATGCTTGTATTAAATACATCAATGCTCTTTAAAACTGAGCAAAAGTTTCAGGTATCATATATGTATATTTACACAAGAGATGAAGCAAATCATGGCCAACTTATTAACTTTCATCACTCAAACCCCTCTTTTAATTGCTTGGTGGTGTGGCATCCCATTCCCCTTCACTATCTGCTTCTGGTGTTATATTTCCATCTTCATTTTCCACCAACTGGTTGGTATCTGGTTGCAGATTATCAAAACCATCATTTAGCTTATCAGCAACAACCTCTTTTTCTGCTGTTTCTAAAGTTGATGCTTGCTGTTCTGTGCTTGGTTGGTCTTTTAAAATTGGTTCCATTTTTACACTACATTCTTCTTGCACTGGTTTATCTGTTTTAGTTCCACCTTCAAGAAAACCTTCCCATGTTTCTAACCTCTTTTTTTTTTCATCTTCAGTTTCTATAACTGTGTACTTTGTGCGTCCATCCCAGGTTTCTGCAGATAGTTGCCTTCCAGCAAACCATCTCTTGTTCATAAGTGCTATACACTGGTCTGCTTCTTCTGGCTCTTTGAATGTAACCAACACTACTCCTTCAGGGTGGCGCTTTAAAAAAGGAATATATATATTGCAGTGGTAATTTTATATAGCTCATAACATAGGCAGTTTAGTTATCCAAATGGTAATTATTTTATGAATTTACAAATTACATAAATTTTACATGATTATATATATATATTTTTTTTTCTTCTTCTTCTTATAACCTTTGTATGTTGAAACTACAAACCTAGAAGGCTTACGTACACAAAATATCAGGTTTTTAAATTAACTATTAAGATCTTTTAATTAAAGATTTTCTCCTGAAGTAATTGCAAAGTAATTTTGATTTTAAGATTAAAAATACTTTTATGCATCAGAACGTTTTCAAATTTCACCTGTGAAATCTTTATAACCTCCAGGTAATTATCAAATGTTTTTTAGAAAAAAAACTTTAAATTTTATCTGGTATTTTCACTATTGCACCTCTGCACAGGTTAGGTCAATTTGATTGGCCTCATAACCACCATAAAAAATTTGAAAATAAATTCAAGTTATGCTTTTTTTGTTCTGGAATGACTACAAATTATAACAGGAAAACACAAATGTGTAGTGTAAAAGCTAAAATCTTATAACATTATACATTTATATATATTTATTACTGGCAAAAGTACCGGCTTCGCTCGGGTTATTAGGTTTGTTTATTCTAGATGACTATGTTAGTGTGTGTATTCTGAACCCACTTTAGCATGAAAGTATAACCTGTATACTTTTGTTGCTCCTTTATGTGATGTGGCCTGCTTATAAAAGTAACCTTCCCTGTGACTTGTCCTCTGATTTTAAACTTAAATAATAAAAACAGATAATAAAACACAAACCTTTTTAATTAACGGAACCTCTAAATTAGAAAACAATAAATATTTTTTTCAATTTTGTAGTTTATACATTTCATTTTGTACTTTCAGCACATAGCCTCTTAGCAACAATATTAGGTTATACTTTTATTGCTAAGCAACATGATATAAAAGCCATTGTTGTTACCAAAATACACTGGCTTTTCTATAAATTAGAAGTTGTTATATAAGGCTCATTAAAAAGATGTGTACGTGCCTGTCTGTGATTTATATCTATAATTTGTAATATAAAGAACCACTTCTTTTCTATATAGTTTTTGCTAGCTTCCCTCATTAAAAATATGTGCACGTGCATGTGCGCATGCACGTGGAGAAGTAATAATACCTAGGTATAGACCCTCAGGGTCCACTTAGTATGGGTGCAGAATTTCAGGTTTCTAGGTTCTTTCCTCTTGGAACTTTGTTTTAATATTTACTTTTAAATTAAGAAATTAACTAATTTATAATACTAAAATTTCTTACTAAACTTATTGACAGATGTTTATAAAATATTAGTTCAATAAAATTTTGAATGTGATGTCTACAAATGTGATGACATGGCCTTTGACCCATGACCATAGGAAGACCCATAAAGATAGGGTTAACAGTCTTTAAAAGTCTACCAAATGTCACATCATTCTATTACTAAATTTAAAAAAACCTTCAAGCTTCTATTCAGAAGTATGATTTTTACTGTTATAAATAAAAGTAGTAATAGCAATAACTTTTTACAAATTTTTCATTAAATTTCATGCAATAGAAATACTTATAGCATCATCTATAAATGCAGTCCAGTTCACAAATATTTATTATTATTACGTTTTCAAATTTATTAAATAAGAAAGAGTTTATAACCTTCAATGATCTTGTAAAATATTCTTCTACCATAAACACAGCATTCTTGAGATACCTGTATACACTGTACTTTGGTGATTTATTTATAACTAACATAAAATACCCACACTCTGCTGTGGGATTCTAAGGTTCCTTATGATTTACAGGGACATCAACGTACCAGTCAACTGTCTATACTATCTTAATTACTTCTATAGCTACCCCAATGCACCAATTCTTTAATTTATTTGTCTGTTGCCATTTCCCAAATTTAATTCAACTCTTTTCAAAAGCAAATAGTTTTAATTTAGCTTCTCAGATTCATTTTTTTTTATGTTTGTGTTTTTATTTGAATTATTTTCATTCTCCAAATTCTCAAATTCGTATTTTTCTTCCTGTTGTTTGTTGCTGTTTCCTATACTTAGTTCAGTTCAACTTTTTTGAATTCTCAGATCAGTATTTTTCTTCCCATGTTTGTGTTGAAAAAAGAGTAAAGAGTAGTTGGCAGAAATTCTCCTCATATTGTTCATTCAGTAAGTGAGAATTAGAGAAAAACATTAATACTTTTCTATAGACCCTTCAGGAAGTAGAATTATGGGGCTTCAAGGGCAAAACATTTGCAAACATTTTTTTGAGTCAAATTTAAAAAGTAATACCCAGGGGTACACTCTCAGAATCCCCTTAGGATGCATGCAAAGATTCAGGTCTTTAGGTTCTTTCCTCTTGGAGCTATGGTGGTCACACACACAGACACTATTTTATTATTCTAGATATGAAAAACAATCTTTTTTTTGTGATGTGGATATGTAAAACTACAGTACTTGGAAAATCAATAGGACCATTTAAGTAAGTAAAATGTGATTAAACACATTAGCTCCAGTGCAGACAGGAGACCTTTCTTTATTGGTGGTGAAATTAAATATGATGATAATATTTTTAAAGTATATATATCTGTATCTTCACTGCTTTTACCTTGAACTCATAAATTATTTGTTTTTCAAACTTTTTATATGATGGAACCTTCTAGTTACATACGTGGTCCTGCAACATGAAAATAATGTTTTACGTGAAACAAATTATCAAATGCCATAGTAGTTGCACTAATCATATTTGACCAAATTTCTGATAATGTATTTTAAGACACTAAATACACTAAAAAAGAAGTAACTCTCTTAAAGGTTCACACTCACATCATAAATTGTGACTTTTTTCACTTCCCCACATTTGGAACACTCATCTCTTAGATCTTTCTGGTACTCCAAAATTAATGTAGCATCAACCTAGCAGTCAAAAGAAAACCAGAGAAAATTTCAACAGAATAATACATTATGCTCACGGCACAAGAAATACGTATAATGTGTGTGTGTCATGTACAGATGTATGCAAGTCTGTAAATACTAATATGATCACGCTAAACAAACAAAAAAATTTCTGAAATAAACAGTATTGTTAGCTAGTTGAGCTTTTACGGAATAAATTTTTCAAGATTGACATATAGCTCACAAATATCCTGAAGACATACAACTTGGTTATTTACTGCATTGATTAGAGAAAAACAACAACAACAGTTCAGTGGCTGTACACACACTCACACAACAATGGGCTGGAATTTCACATTTACCTGGTCACCACAATCAAGTTTTTTGTCCTAATCCAATCCCTATTTTAAACTAATTTTGACATGTAAGCAGTTGATGGTAAGCAAGTTTTGTTTAATTTACCAACAACATAAAATACTAAACAATAACTGCAGTTACTATCCCAACAATGAAATCTCTTCTGTTTGTAAACTTGCTCATAAAGATACTTTAAGCACAATGCATCTTTGAAATTAATTACAAAAATAATTCACAAAGGAAGAATTTTACATGCTACCTTATTACAGTAGCCTGCAGTTTAACTTATAATACAGAGACTTACAAAAAAAATCATAATCTTTCAGAAGCATCAATTAAATTCTAATGACCTCAGTAAATGCAAATTGCATACCATGTTTTGTGTTAGGTAAAAATTGACTCATTTGATTAATTAAGTACTTGTGTCTTTAGAATTAAACCAAAAGTGTATCAAAAAGTGGAAATTTGCCCTATTTCAAAGTCTTTTTATTTGTATACTCAGGCAAAAATGTAAAACAATCAAACAAAGAATAAAAAGTTTCAACCCTAATCTTATGAAATAATAATTAAAAAAAAAGGAACAGAAAAACATCTTTGACAAAGAAGAAAACATGTGAGTTTAGAGTTAGCTACATATCTTACTAAATCTTACATCAAATTAAGTAAACAAGGTACCTTAAGACAATTAAACTACTCACTATATGGTGGGCTTGAAACTGTCTTACTGTCAAGTCATATACAGTGTTTGCAATCTACATGAAATCTTAGAGTCAATCAGTTTACTTGTATTTCTTCACATTTTTTCAAAGTTCAGTTTCATATATGTTTACAATTAATAATTTCATGTCCATCTCATATGTTCACAGCTGACTGATATGGGTTCACATTTTAGAAGACTTCTGTCTGTCTGTCAGTGTAATGGGTAACATAATTTATACATGCACTTCTGTGCATATTCATGTAGAAATTTTCACGACTTCAAATCTACTTGTGTATCTTACTATAAAGATAATCCATTGTGTATGTGTATGTACGTTAGCACCCGTCATCCAGAGTTGGCTGGTTCAATTACTATAATTCTTAAACGGTAATTGGAAACTGTCCAACAGTGTACATGAGCTACTTTGTTTTAGGAATTTTGCCCAAGGGGATAAAAAGTGCACATCCTAACGTTTTTATACTTTTGGCTTCCATCACCCACAGTTGCTGCCTTGATTACAGTAATTTCTTGTAGGGCAACTGGAAATTATCCAATGGTATACTTGGTCCTGAGAATAGATTAAAAAAAACCCTGAAATAGGGCACACTTCCATTTTTTGATGCACTTTTGGTTTTAAATTTAAAGACAAAAGTACTTAATCAGTTAAATGAGTCAATTATAAATTCCACAAATCAGTATATGCAATTAGCATCTAATGAGGCTATTAGGATATAATAATGGAAAGAAGAAAGGGAAACATTATCTAACATTGCCCTTTTTGCTTCCTTAATAGGTACCCTCAGTTAGTTAATAATAATAATAATAATAAAGATATTCACATCCATCTACATTTTCAAGTTTATAGTTCACACAATCTCCAAACCTGCTATTATATGTGTATTTTAGCTGAGATTTTCACATGTAATTCTATGATTACTAAGCTAATAATGTTTTCTTAATTTACTTTTGTGTTAATGTCCCAGCTCATGCAGTTTCATAGACATCTTTAAGTACTTGTAGCCTTATGCCTTTTGCAAACATATGTATTGATGTTAATTTGAAACTTAAATGACCTTTACACATACCATTATTTATTCATAGCTTACAAAACTTCTGGCCATATTTTTGTGCATTGGTCTTTAGAGAGTTTCAATTGCAACTAGATTCAAAGCTTACAGGAATTCCTGATGTTTAGCCTTACAAGTTCACATTCCATAGTATCTTCATTTGTCTACTATTGTGCTCAGCAGGTTCCAACTGACCTATAAATGTGAATATTTCTCCACAAAATTATATATGAGATAACTTAAAAATAAAGTTTTGTTACATGTACGAAGCAAAATGTTTACTTACTTCAAATTCTTTTGGATCAAACATATTCTTTATGACCACAACCCGTTCACATCTTAGCCTCTGTCCACGTAGCATCTCTGGCCTCCAATCAAATAATCTTCAGAAAAAACAACAATACATTTTCAAATATGGGGGGTGGATTTCAAAGTATTTTTTCCCACAGAATATAAAATACCCTTTAATGTCAAAATTGATTTGGAACATTGATTTTTACTTCTACCTCCAGCAAGTGCTTAATATTTAACCAGGTATATTACCCTGGTGTGATAAGTCATGACAACTTTCATGTTACGAGATAATGTATTGTTTGGTAACACAACTAACTGTTTGCTTTTAGCTAGAAATCAAATTTCATATTGTATCACATTCACAAAATATTTTTATGCAACTGAAAAAATTCTGAACTACAACTGGAAAATGATTCCAAGAATACACCACAAAGACACACACTGAATATAACCCAAAATTAATGCATATAATTACTAATCATTATTAATTTAGGTGGTAGCAAGTGTCATCAGCTGTGATATTCCATGGCAAATTTTATAAACAGACATTAAATGGGCCTTAATGAGAATTCTTAGTTCAACATAATGATATGCAAGTCCACAAATGTAAAGTATTTGCAATTTTGTTCTGAATTTTGGTTACTGTATTATTTTTGTATTTAATTTATATTTCATGTTTTTGTTCCCTATCAAGCTCTTCTAATGTTTCTTTGTAATAAACTAACCACAAAAGAAAAAAAAGCCAGACCATATAAGAAAATATTTTTGCAGACTTGGCCATGCTTGTTGATTTGTTAAACACTAATTACTTTTGTGTTTATTAATTTCTTTTTCCATTTTCTATAAAGATATGACACTTACTGGCCAACGGGTGAAGCTGTTCCAATATTTTTGCTAACTGGTCAATTTCAAAATGCTAATGATATGGAATTTGAAAACGTTTTAGAACTCCATAATCAAAGTCTTATTATTCCCTGTAACAAGATTATTGGCATTGACATGAAGTTTAGTGGTTATGAGAACATAAAAAAAAATCACTCAGTAATGAAAGAGTAAATAGTAAGAAAACTTATTAATGATGACAGATGACTTCCTAACCTGTTTAACTTTATATACATGGTGTAAATGGTTTTATGTTTTTAGAATAATAATGATGATAAAAATATTATTAATTAATGTTTCCATAATAATAATTGAGATGTTATTGACAAATGCAACAGTAAAATCCTACATCACCTAAATACATCAAATGTTAGTTTAAAAACATTTTTAGACTTAACTGAAAGTCCTTGATAAATAAAAAAATAATAATAATGATTTGGTAAATGAATGCTGTGAACAGATAACTCAATGTTTCCAAATGCAAATGTACATAAAATGTCTATGGAGCTTCTTTGTTGAAATATGCACACCCAACTTCAGAAATACGTCACCTCTACGTACTTGTTCAATTTTTTTTTCAGTTTTTCTTTTTCTTTGGATTTCTTCTTTCTAGGTTTCTTGCTTGGATCGTACTTCCCTTTCATCTGAAATGTGGCCCTCTCTACATGGATAACATGCCCTCTAACTCTACTGCCATCCAGGATCTTCAGTGCTAGATCAACCGACTCAACCTGTGGGAAGAACAAAATACCACATATAACTTACAGTTGAACTGTAATAATTTATAGCTTCATTTATAATTACTCTAACTGAATACATTAAAGCCAAATGTACCTTGAACAGAACTGCAGTAAATCATTATTTATGATGAGAAAAAAAAAGCAAGTACCTTTATGTAGCAACAGAGAGCATCACCTTTCACAGAGCCATCAGGATTTCTGTAGAGTTTAATCTTATAAAGGCCCCTGTCAGGGTCTTTCATTATTAGTCCACATTTACTCATCACCTCAACAAACTCTTCTTCTGTGGTGTCAAGAGGTAAACCTGCCACATATACATTGGTGTTATGAGCCTCGTCCACATCAAACCAGCCTGAAGGAATTAAAAAAAAGGCTTTAAAAATCACTAAATTTTTTTTACGATTTTTGTAACCAGCATTAGTTTTATTTATTAAGGCTTGTAGCTGGTTTCTTTTTCAGACACATTACATTACTGTATATTACACCAATGGCAAGGAAACAAAAAAGTTTCTTAGTTGCTCTGATACAAACATTATCTGTAGGTTAAAAGTTTGAGTTAAACAAGCGTTTTTGTGTAAAGATTTAATATGTTTGTAATTTGGTAGGATAAATAATTTCTTATGATATATTCTTGAGAGAAGTTTTTTTCATGAAGAGTTGGAACAGTAGTTTTTTACTTAGATAGTATCATATTTAAAGAAATAATTACATATAGACTGGTGAACATTTAATTCACTTACTTTTTTAAAGTTAGGTGAGGTGTCCTTAAGAAAAAATGTCTATAATGGGCAAATGTATGAATACAAGCAATTACACTATACAATACACTGTAAAACAAGAAAGTCTCATAGGTCTTGGTCAAAAAATGAACACAGGAGAAAAATCATTAATACATATTGTGTAAAATATTGCTTGTTACTAGAGATTGGTGATAAACTTGATGAATGAATTCTCTATGAGTATCTATTACATTGATTAGTGACATGTAATATAACTGATTAATCAAAATTATATTTAAATCAAACAGTACCACAAAAATAATCAACTAACTGAAATATTGCCATTATGATTTCTCATTATTATACTTGATTAATTCAAGGTTGTTCAGTTTAATTGAATCGAAATTAGTGTTTCCATGAATTATCTATTTTTGATTATTCCAACTATCCAAGTTTCAGAGTCCTCTAATTGCTCAATTCAACTTATTACCATGTATGTTTCGAAAATATTTTTATGAACCTCAAGAAAATGAATTATCTTACAAAGGTTATTATATAAGAAACTGAGATTTACTTATACTGCTCTAGCATATTTAAACACATCATTTTCTGTTGAATCTGTATGAATTGTATTAATTTATGTGTTTGTCATAACTTCAGAACACTCTAGCTTTACTTTTACCACGATGAAAAATATTGTTTGTTTCATTTTTTTAACCATTCGTTAAAATTTTAGAAGTTACAAATAAAAGTTGGGTTTCAAAGTTTAATTCTGTCAGATGTTTCTCTAATTTATAGTAATTTTATTAGCCAAACAGTATTTCTGTTGATGAAACTGAACATTCCACAGTGGCAGCTCATGGGGTGAGGCACTGCTTCTCATAGAATTTCCATGTCCCTAATTTAAATATTTAAACTAAACATATTTTTTTATCATTAATTACATTATAGTTGTCATAACATTATGAGAAGATACTAAAACATTAATTAACTCCTACTAAAGATTCAATCATAAGGAGGATGTGTTATCCTTTTATTGGTGCAGGGGTATAGTCTAATGCTACTGCCTCACAGATTAGTACAGTTCACTCTATTCCATGTAGGAGTGACAGCTTGTTAAAAGGCTTGGTATATGCACAAAAACTTTCCATCAATAGTGCCAAGGTACTATCAATTTGATCTATGGGGAGGTGAGTAGTGTAGTCTGAAACTATCAGAAATAAATATAAACATATATAAGTTCATTAAATACATTAAGTGCAAACTTGTTTAGTTCAGCTATTACTTGAAGGGTACAGGAAGTTCGTGCAACAGGTAAGCAGTAACTAACTTCACCCTCAAATGTCTTTACTCCATGTAACTCATGGCTTAATCATGAAAAGTCACAAAAACTATTTGGGATCTAATTAAACGAGTTGAGCTGGATTGTCTAACATAAACTGTAACAAATTATGAGGTTAAGAGATCTATCTTGAACACAAGACCCTGACCTCATATTATTATTCTGAGAATAAAGGCTCATCTTCAAGTCTTACTATGTACATTTCAACTGTTCTCTAGCTAACAACGTATATATAACATCAGGCCAACTGATGCACAAGGTATGACAGTCTGATTTACAATTTTCTCAACCCAGATAGTCATAAGGGTTGGAATGACACCAAGCTGGGAGCAAGATGACAAATCAGGGTGCTTAGAAGTCTGTCCTGAGAGGATGTTAAGCACAGGGCTTTGCTCACATTGGTGCTCTGAGACCAAAGGTATCAGGGCTCAATTCCCAAACAAGATCTCCATATCAAGAGCATTATTCCAGCACTGGCATGAAGCAAAAAATTACATTTTGCTATTTTGCAACCATTGTTATTTAAATGTTTGAATAAAATTTCACTATGCATATACCAAAAATGGGAAGACATAAGACAAAGCATATCAAATGAAGAAATTAATTTTAGAAAATAAAATCCATCCTATTCAATAGAAAACTTATAATGCTGACTATGAATAATGTTTTGCATGGATTACTTCAATCCTTAGCAAGCTTCAAGATAATGTTAGATTTTTCAAACTGTAGAAGAATACTTTTCAACTTAATAAAATGACACTTATCATGACCCTTATCTATCATGGAGATCAAGTGATAAAAGAGAAAAGTCTATAAATATTTACATCCCAAACTATTTTCATAATCATTTATATATATATCAAATTAACTACTATCATTTATCATGAAATCTCTTTAATGTAGAGAATAGTTATAAAAGAAAAATTTATAAATATTAACACTGGAAACTATTTTCAGAATCATTTATATAAAGTGACTGATATTTTAATTCAACCTGGTTCATTATTGGCTTTTCTCTTTTTTCCAGCTATTTCTTGTGAATCGATGTCAGACAATGTAGACGTGGTAGATAATGCATCTTGGCTTTGTGATGTTGAGGTTTCACTGACACCATAATTTGCTTGATAAGCTGCAATAAAATCATCGTCAATCTGCCAGAAAGGAGAAAAATAACTCTTATAGGAATTACAAGTTCAAGAAAGATCCACAATGCTTGGGTTAAACATGAAGCAAGATTTCCTTTTGATGTATGCTTTCTGTTAAAATTATAAGTATCCTTTTCATGATTTTGTAAAAGCAGTGTACTTGTCAAGATACATGTACAGACCTGAATGTTAGATGGGAGGAACTTGTGTAGTACATTATTTCAACTTCATGGCATTTCTCTCAGAGTAGGATAAAACTTCCCAAAATATGAACTCGCATGAAAAAGTAACACCAGAAAATAAAAAAAATCTTTTTTAAACAGAAAGTGTCTGTGATATCCCCTGAATTTTTTACTTCTCACAATGAAAATACTTATTTTATGAATATCAATAAACTGTATGTAGTTTTGACTTAACCATATGTGCAAAGGACAAAGTCAAAGTGTACATGACATGACCTTTAACAAAGTATCATTCAACATGGTATTATGTATTTGATGTCAGAGTTATTAGCTTCTGAATTTACCTTACATTGCTGGTTTAGCAACAGTTCATGGTAGAAGAGAGTAAATACCAGTCACAATGTACAGGAATATAAAAAAAAAAACCTGCAAGTATATATTATGAAAGTTGTAGAAGTCACACAATTGCAATATGCAAGCTGTACAATGGACAAGAAATATTTTTATGCTTAGCATGAGCATCACTTTGCACTTCAACTTGTCAAAGTGTGAGTCAGACTGATGTTGTCAATTCACCAACACATCATGAGTATGCATACTTCTGTAATATATCTGATTTTATGCATACAACAGACTTGTATATTTATTAAAAGCTTGCCACATGTCATGAAGATACACGTAGTAAATTAAGAATTATTGTCAATATTCCTTCTCATATATGAGATTAGTCCCTTGGATTGACCGCATGCACCACTGATAAAAATATTTATACAATTTGATTTAGTATTTCTATCATTTATTTAGTTTGTGAAATTTCAGAAATATTGATGTGACCAATGATTTGAAAAACTATTAAAAATACTTTCTTTTATATATTTACAGTCAGTTATAATTTGATTGATATTAATTAACATATTTCTTTTGATATTTCATTTTGTTGTTTACAGTAATAATCACCAATTTTGACTATAAATCATGAAAAATACAGTAAAAACTGACAAGGCATCAGCATTATCTATGTCAGGCTAGATATCAACATTTGTACTAACAATAATCTTGGTACAGATTAATTTATGTCTAGTATAGTTTATTTTCAATAAATAATAAATTATTTTACCTATGTGCATTGTTTCAATATGATGAACAATAAATAGGGAGTTGAGTTGTCAGAATATTTTGCTGTTGCCTACTGTACTCATTAAACCTTACTAAACTGAACACATGCTTTGTCACAGAAGAAACTTTTTGTAATAACTTTCAAACAGATACAATTTAACATAAACTATTTTCAGGAATGAAAAGAACAACTGAAGAAACTATAAAAAATTTCCCATTCCTTTGTTCACACCTAAAGGAGCTCTGGATAGTCAACACCTTGATAAACCATAAATTACTATCAAATCACTTTATTTACTCTTCAGTGATACGAATAGTTTTTAATTTCCTTTATTCAATAATACTTAAACATTGGTTATAGCTATTTTTGCGCCTGAGCATTATTAGCAACAAAGGGCTCTAGTAACAAAAAAATTAACAGAGAAAGAAAGTCACAAGAGATAAGGCATGAATAGTATACTTTAAGACATAATAGTTTTTTAGCAAATATAAACATACATTATTAGATGAGTAAAAAATTTAAAAAAAATCGATGTTTTTTTTACAGGTAAGACTTTTCAGAGTTGTGGAGGAATGAATACCGGAACTTCTTTCATTTTTTCTTTGTGAATTACATTAAATATATGTAACACAATAGCAATTCAAAACTATTTTTAGTTCAAACTGCAGAAATATAATTAGAATAATTATCTTTTATTTTCTTTGAAATTTAAAGTGCAGCTGTCCACTTAACACCCAAAAGGTGCTCACTGGTCATGATAGGGTAAATGTTGATCCAGTTGCCTACAGCTTTGACAAGCATATCACATGCTTGCAATTAAGATTTTTTTAAACTATTAATCAATGCTAAACACTTTCATATCCTCAATTGTATATGTACACAATGTATTTAAACCAAAAAAAATGTATTTGATAAGAAACATCATATATTATAAGATCTATGTACAAAGTAATATGTATTAATTAGTTGTTTACAACTTGGGAATGCATGTATGTGTTTACTTTAAAGTATGCATAGATATCAGTAAATAATAAAGATTTCTTCATAAAAGTGCTAATTTCATTGAATAATCTTAAATCTGTAATGTTCCGATTATTTTTATCAACTAAGAAGGCATACTGGAAAGTAGTTCAAACTTTGCAAATGTTCTAATGCTGAAATTTATTTTTGTGAAAACAATAAAAATATAAAATTAATATTTTTACTACTACTACTTTATTTAGGCTATCATTATAATCAGCCTTAAATTAATCTTATAACAGTTGAGAAACTTTTATGTTTGATGGTTTGAAAACCTCTTTAAGTTATATGATGTTTTGTCTTTTTAAGACCAGTTTTAGTTCAACTCAAAATAGATTAATATTCCATTAATTGTTTGGTCACAAAGTACTAAAATAAATAACTGTTTGAACAATCACCAAGTTTTTTATATTTTTATTTAAAGGCATGTGCCTTTGTTGTAAGCTGTACAATCTGATGAAGAGTGCTAGTTCAAAATGTCATCCTTCTTTAAATAAAAATATAAAAAATTAGACAATTGTTCACCCTATTATTTATTTTGATATCTTTGTCACTTATGCAGTTTTAACTATATGTTACTGGTCACAAAGTACTGTCATATTACCAGCATCCAAGACTTTCAAAAATGTAAGAGAAAATTTAAAATATTTTCAACAGTTTTAAAGAAATTTTGATAATTACAATATACAAAAATTATGTTTTACATAAGAGAATAGTATTTTTAGTAACTGTAGTATTTACTAAAATCACAATGTATTTATAAAACTAATTTGTTAACTTTTAATATTGTGAACTGCCTTAACTAATGGTTAGTTTATTTGTAAATATAGTCTCAAAAAAAAAGAAAGAAAATATATTAAAATATTTTAAATGTTTCCAGATTTACCTTGGGAAACCAAGCTTTTTTCTGACTGTCCCACTCAAATACAGTTCCATCAGTTGGATCAACATATGTGTAGGGATCACCCTGGCTAGGTAAACTCCAATCTGTTTCTTGTTTTTGTTTTTCAAGCTTTTCTAGCTTAAGTTGGGCTTCAAAATCATCTTCACTCATTTTTTTCTTATGTCTAAAGTGAACAGATATAGTGCATTATATTAAGTACAAGCTTCATTTGCCAATTTAAACAGAATAGAAAGATAAATTTAACATTTACTTCACTTTAAATATTATCTACTTTGTACTTAATAGTAGTTATAGTTTGAGATTTACCTATATTTTGAGAGTGATAAATATGTATTTAGCTCTTTCAGCATGGGCTCAGTCTCTGGGACCAACCTCATAACCATTTTTTGCTTGGTGTAGTTTTCATGCTATAACTTTTGAATTAGTAAGTGTTTGTTAATGAAATTTGGCAGATTATCAGTAAATATCACAATGCTTTCACATACAAAATATATTTTTTTTTATTAAGTCTTAAGCTTTGTAAAACAATGCCTTTCTCATGGTTTTTTTTCTTTTTTGCATATTGCCTATTCAACATGAAAAGCAATTTTCATTTTAAGATTAAACTACTTTTATGCATCAGAAAATTTTCTAATTTCACACGCAAAATCTTTATACTATCCAGATAGTTATCAAATGTTATATTTTATCTGTTATTTTCTGTAATGAATCTCTGTACAGGTTTGGTAGATTTGACCGGTCTCGTAACCAACATAAAAAATTAGGGAACTAAAATAAGTTATGCCTTTTTCATTCTAGAATGACAACAAATTATAACATGAAAACATAAATATGTAAATAGCTTAAATCTCATAACATTAAACATTTATATATATTTATTATTTTCTTATATTGACCTTTCAGCCATGCCTGGCTAACAATACAGAAGTTACAATGACGCAGAACACGTGCAGTCATGTTACCGCATCCAATAATATAAAACTGACCTTTAGTCTTTACAAAGTAACCTGTCTTGAATGTGTTTTAGTAGACTACTATTTTGTAAAATACAGTCACATTTCAATTATTATACATTATGTATATAGATTAATGCTAATTATAAATAAATTCTTAAACTTATTTTTCTTAAAACACAGAACAGTAAATAAACAAGTAAAGTAAACAATTATCTCTTCTAGTTACGACCTTTGTACTTGGTTGCTGCTTGACGTAGGTTGTTAAGCCTTTTAAAATTTCGCACATAGAAGATATGAAATGAAATAAATCTTTTAGGTTTCATATATACATTTGGACAACCAAAAAATCATAAATTACAATATCAATACAATATAATTCCACTATATATTTATCAAGCTTAGTAACCAAGCTGTATTTCAGTCTCAAAAAATATGAAATTTCGAGCAGACAAAAGACACAATCTACCTCCTCAAAATCTTGGTTTGAAAGAAATGGCATCCTAGGAATTCAAAATGGCTAAGAAACCCACTAGGGGGACATTCTGAGCTTTCAATTGGTTACTCATGTCATATATAGAAGTAAGTATATATAAGGGAGCATTTCCAAAATTGGAAAGATGTGGGTGGGGTGCCACTGTGTTTGATTTATTACATGAGCAATATCTTAGCAAATTGAAATGATAAGAGGCTTTTATTTTATCTTCTAAATTGTCAATATTGGTAATTTGAGTTCCTAATTGGTACAAAACTACAGACTTAGTATTTTGACATCACAAACATGTAACTCGAACCAGTGCTGTATTCAACATATCATGTGACACACAAAAATTGATGTTTAACTGTGTTTTTTTAATATATACTTTTAAATTAAAAAATTTAGTAAGATATAATACTAAAATTTGAATCATAATCTACAGTTTGATACCAAACTTACTGACATAAATTCATGAAATAGTAGTTCAATAAAATTTTTAATGGGAGTCAACAAACAAGATTACATGGCCTTTCACATGTGATCCATCGAGATAGGGTTAATTATGTGTCACACAAAAAAATACTATCAATATTGCAACTATCCCCACTAATTGATATGAGAGCCCCCTGTATAGATTTTAGAGTAAAAATTAGTGACTAATTTCACTCAATGTTTTGGTCATAAAACTACTCAACATAATGTGAAACTCACTGGTAGTGTATGATATAAAAAAGTTGGTAATATGAAAGTTAACAAAACAAACATAATTTAAGTACAATAAATAGGAAAAAAAATTAAAATTTTAATGGAAAGTAGGAATTGTTGGTTATTTGTGGAACTGCTATAAGAACTATCCAAAACAAAATAAATACGGAAAAAAGTATACAAGCATGTAAAGTTGATACAAGTTGGATAGATTTTAAAACGATTTTCAATCCCTACTTTGGTTAGCAAATTTGGACTGCTTCATTTAACTTTATGAGTCACAATGCCAAAGTAGGGATCGATATGTAGCGCTATCTTCTGGGGCGAAAAGATATTTAAGTATGTGCATGATATGTTTACTTTTGAGTTCATCTAGGTCATCTCATCCACTACACTAAACTTTAAAATGAAAATAACACACTCAAAGCTAGTCCTTATCATTCACATATTTATCAAACCATCCTTTAAACTGCCTTAAATTAACTACATCCACCACATCTGAAGGCAACCCATTTCAAAGGCTAACTATCCTGTTAGAAAAATAAAGGTGTCTTAGCTGAAGATGACTCCTATCCTGCCAAAATTTATATTTGTATTCACTAGTCCTACCATTCTCACCATTTGGTACAAAAAATGATCATGGGTGAATACAATCAGTTCCCTTAACAATTTTAACACCTCAATCAGATCCCTTCTAACTCAAGAGAAAATGAAACAGCTATTCAATGACAATATCTATAACTGACAAAACTAATCCTAAATGACCTAAAAATATACTAGCTATGAAATAATCAAAAGTTTTAAAGTTAACTGGTATTTTACTCTAACTAATGCAAAAAATAGCTCATCAGCTGAGATTAATGAACATTTTGAAAAATTTAATAAAGCTGATTATGAAATAGCACTGAAATTCTTAATGAATTATGCAAAGAAACAAAGGAAATATCTTGAATTACATAAAAAATACTATTGAAACACTTAAACCATGTTTAGTGAAAAAAAAATATGTGTAATCAGTTTTAGCAATCAGACAGCAACATCTTAACATTTGGACATGTGTTTACACAACCTTCTAACTAATAGTAGAAATTCATTGTAGTACAATTTCAACTGTGCGTGAAAATCCACAGTATACTCTCATACAGTATTGGCAAATTAAATGTATTAGTTACAGTAATAATTATCATTAACTTCTGATCAAAGTAAGCTACTACCTATACTGTAGATCAGAACTAAAATTTAACCCACTAACAATTATAGCCAACTGAATATATCATTGTTGCTTATAATGATTAGAATGGGGCACAATGCATTGTTTCATCAGCTGTGTACCCTCGCTATTAGTAATATATTTAGCTGTAGTCCCAAAAATATCTGAGGATTCAATCAGCTTAGGAGATTTAAGTTAGTCTTAAATCCATATACTAAGCTAAAAACACAAAATAATCCTCATAATAAAAATATAATATATATATATATCAAGCAATCCAACCAATACTGTTTATAAAACTAATATTAAAGATAGAATATAGCTTACAAAACACACAAAAACTAGTTGTTTGCTTCATCACTAGTTCCTTGAAAAGTGTGACACCACTATGTGAAAATTTATATATTTTTCCCTAACAATGTTTAGTGAGAAATAAAAGTATAAAACAACTCCAACAGTGTAACTTTAAGAGTAGCTTAACATTGTACAAATTACTACAATGCAGACTATCATTAAACTAAAGAATTGGGTAACAGAACAAATTATAGTGCGTGCTGCCTACCAGTTATTTTCCCTCTAGTCAGATGTTCAAGAAAAAAAAAGAAATGTAGTGGTAGATGCTACTAGACAGTTCTTTTCCTTCTAGTCAGCAGTTCAAAAAAAAGGGTGGTGATGGGTGCTGCCAAACTCCCCTCTAGTCAGCAATTCAAAATTAGTTACAGTAGCAGTTAGCCTCAATAATTTTACCATAACAAAATCAGAGAAAGCAATTTTGGTGGCAATGGGAATTGAACCCAAGACCCTTGGAAAACGAGGGAAACAAGTTGATGTAATTACCATAATTAGCAATTGATCAAATGTTACATGAATTAATACAGAAAAATCAAAAAACATTTATCATGCAGACTTACAAACAGAACATAAAAAAGCAACAATCCTAATTAAATCTTTACTAATTTGGATCTAATAATCTTAATTATTAAAAAAAAGTGATATATTTAAACAAATTGTTTCCATTTGGACAGAAAACAAACTTTTAGTTAACAATAACTAATCACAGTAATAAATTATCTTGTTAGATCAGCTTAAAATTAATTGAAACATGAAAGTATGTTAAAGCACATCAGAGGAAAATATTAAAAATAACAAACTTTTGAACATCCAGAATAAGAAGCGAGTTTGACGTAACATATATATGTCTGTGTGTGTGTATACATATGTTCTGATGATTTCAATCTTCGTATGCATATTATATATAATGAAGTACACAGAGGAGCACCTTGAAACTTTCAGTATATTGTACATGCATGCTGTATAATATGCCACGATTTTCCATTAAAATCTTTATGACACTGAATATAACATTAAATACTAAAATTTCTATGATGCCAAAAAACATTTATCAAATTGTTAAAAAGAAAAGGCATGAGATTTCATGGAGTGGCTAAAATGTAGGATTAAAGAAGAGCAATGCTTATAAAATCAACAAAATTGTCTGGGATGTGGCTGTCAAAATTAATGAGAGGTCAAATATTTTGGTACATATTTTTTGAAAATTAAATCTCACAATGTATTTTACTATTTTGATGTCATTATCTTGTGAAGATCCATTTGAATTCCTAACACTTGTTGTTGAATTATTCTTCAAATGTTTGTAAAGCTTTAAGATACACATTATGACTTATGTTTAATATAGCTGGTTGATTAACCATCTATTTCTCTAACATCTGATGTAGAAGATGTTTTTAAGTCCACACATATTTAATTTTTTTTTATTATATATTGTTTACACCTACATACGAGAAGTTCAGTTGTGTTTACGAGATAAAAGCTATAAAACTTTTTACTTTATGAACAAGCTTAAAATATTTTTCACTACAATTCTTTTGACAAAATTGCCAATGATCATTGAAAGTACCTACTAAAATTGAAATTACTTTTTAATTTATTTACAGATTTTCACACATATGTACATACAATTAAAATACCTCCAAGTTTTTGCAAATTATCACATACAGCCACCTAGTGAGAAACAACTGTTTGACATAAAATATTTAACTTGAACATAGAAATAACTATCTGGTATACCAATGTAAAGGGTTTACCTTTTGAGGTAATGAGAACAATAAGAACTGCTGCAGGCATCTTAATGCATATAAACATTCTTTGAGAAAATTGTGATAAATTAAATAGCCAATTCTTTACCATTTAAGATCATGGCTCATGTCAGCATAGCACAATAAATCCACAGTTTGTATTAGCTTACACAAGTTACAATAATGAAAATGTTAAATGCTTACAAATACAAAAAAATAACATAAATGCTCTTTTACAAATGGTGTTTTAGTATTAGTTTTTTCCAACATATACACACAACTGAAATATGAATAGTCCTGAGAATTAACCTCAAAATTATAATTTTGTCATGAAATGTTGAAAATTATTAAAACATTTACACCAATCAAATTCACACAAAAAAGAAAATACTGTGAATTATGTCAAGGTACTATTTATTTAAGGATAAAGACTATAATAGACTTACATCCAAGAATATTTTGAAAGGTGATAGAGACTGTGAATCAGTGAAATGTGTTGTCAAGTCTTTGTTCTATTATAATATCACTAGAAATTGAATCAGGATTAGGCTTGAATATAGAATAACTACATAGGACTCAGTATTTTTCAAATAACTCAAATTAACAACATAAAATTGCTTTCAAACAGTTAACTTGATCAATCAATATAATCAATTATCTGTGAGCATTAAGTTAATCAATTAGTGTCATATAAAATAACTGAGTAATCAAAATTACAATTAAATATATTAATGGCACAAAAATAATCAACCAATGGAAATTAGTTTCCAATTATTACTATCTTTGATTATTCAAACTATCCAAGTCTCATGTGAGAGTAACTGATTAGTTGAATGTAATCATTAATGAGCCTGATGATTAATTGATTAGCAAATTCTACTCTAATCCTCCAGATCTAGTTTCATGTTTGTAGAGTGAAGTATTAAATTAAGACTTGTTCAAAAGTTTACAATTTTTAAGTTTTGTTTTATTTCACAATGGGAAGAAATAAAAAGTGATATTTATATTTTCTTATGAGCAACAATGTGTAAAACATTTCTTGAGGTCCTACAGTTTTTAAGCTGAGGCTATATACAAGAATGTCTCATATGGTCATATGAAAATAACTACACAATAGTCATTTAGGCAATCTATAATTTTGAGTATGTATGTATGTGACTGTTTTGGTATTTTAGGTATTAGTAGCTTTAACTTACTTAGTTGAGCTACATAGTCACATACACAACAAGAGGGGTCTTCCATACAGCATATACCTCCACCATACAGTGTTGATCATATTTGGCGATCAAAAAATACAAAGATGTGTCCATACGTCTGTCGTTATCAAGAGATACAGACCATTTATGGCAGGACAATGAGGAATAATATTCTACTTACGTCCACCAAGTTTAATCACAATCTGATCACTTTTGACTGAGTTATAGAGCAAACATAGAGTGAAAAACCAGTCCCCATGTTAACAAATACGGAATTTTTTAATTTGCATGACTTTGACCTTCCAAAAACTAATCATTTCTAATTTGGGTCATAGTCCAAATGTATACCAACTTCAGTCCAAATCCATTCAGCCATTTATGAGACATCTTGCTGAAAAACACACACAGGGGTGAAAGCATAAGCTCCATCACTTTTGGCGGTAAAGGTTAATAATGTTCATAGTAGTGTAGGTGTACAATCATGAAAAAATAAATTATGAGAAGGTAAATATCTGGATACTGTGTAGATAGTGAAGTGGTAATGACTATACATTGTGCTGCATGTAGCCAAATGAAAACAATACATGATTTTTGTGAAATAATTTACAGTTTTTCTATATATATGATTATTGTGAACATTATATATTACTATTGCTAGTAGTGGTAACTAAATGAGCTACATACTAACCAAACCTAACCTAACATAATTTGATCAACCTAACCTAGATTACACAGAAAACATGGTACGACTATCTTCACCAATCAGGTGAAGATAGGCAAAGAAGCAGTACTAGTACTATTAATTTAACATAACATAATGTTTTGAGACAACATGGTACCTATTGCCAGTATTGGTCCATCTCGGCTGTCCCATTCTCTAAACTAAAACTAATAATAATTTTTTTAAATCTTAAAGTTAGCCCTCATTATTCATATACTTATCAAGTTTTATTTAAACTCACATAAATTTACTTCCTCCACAACATTCAAAGAAAACCCATTCCAGAGGCCAACCACCCTGTTAGAAAAATAAAACTGTCTCAGCTGAAGATGACTCCTACATTGCCAAAATTTATATTTGTTTCCCCTAGTCCTACTATTCTCACTGTTAAATATGAAAAAAGGTGATGCAACTACACTATCAATTCCATTTACAATCTTAAACACCCCAATCAGATCCCCAGAGAAAACAAGTTGAGAGATTTCAACTTCTCCTCGTACAACAACTACTTCATCCCAGGCACCATTCTAGTAACCCTTTCTTTCATGACACTGTTAAGGTTCGATGACGAGGAACCCACTTTGAGACTAATAATGGCTGGAGACGGCTTGAATGGGTAATGAAGCAAAACTTTAACATAACAGCAAGTGTACAACGCTTCTACAAGGTTTTGTCATCATCAGGTACAAGTAATTTACCCTGACACGGATATATATATATATATATACAGTATTGAACAAAGAAGTCACATAACTTTGATGCAAGTAACCTTAACAGTAATGGCTGGAGACAGCTTGAATGGGTAATGAAGCAAAACTTTAACATAACAGCAAGTGTACAACGTTTCTACAAGGTTTTGTCATCGTCAGGTACAAGTAATTTACACTGACACGGATATATATATATATATA